GTAAACCAAGGAACCGCACTGTTCGGGCCCAACCAGACCTCGTAGGCTGATCTTGAAAATACGGACACCAAGAAGTACAGCCACAAGTGGAAACATCAAAGCCCTCAATCCACGAAAAGGCCGTCTTAAGCTAAACCCTGAAGTAACAATGACATGCTCTGGACAGTTTAGAAAGCAGACCCAATAAGCGCTAATCATTACAATCAACATAAAGCTAGAACACTCATGAACACATACGGACTCGTCGTTCAAAAGGTGACAGGTGACATGGGGAAACATGCTACCAAACAGATCATAAACTACAAACGCAGTTGCCGCACATACGGAAACACATGCATACTTACATGCAGACCAACAGACGGACGGACGGACTTCCATGTAAATATACGTTCATACATGCATACAAACTTCCAGGCAGGCAGGCAGCCAGGCAAGCAGGCAGGCAGACCGACAGACCGACAGACGGACAAACAGACTGCCATATAAACGTGCATGCATACATACATACATACTTACTTAGATTACATTGCATGACATTGCCTTACGTTGCATTACACACATACATTATAGCACATTACATTACATTGCATTGCATTACATTACATTAAATAAATACATACATACAAACATACATACAGGGAATACATACAGCCATACATACAGACAGACATACATACAGACATACAGACATACATACATACACTGCGCACTACATACACGCAAATACACACGCATGGACACAAGCGTCAGTGTGTACACCTGGGTGTCTCTTAGAGTCGACTCCGATGCCACACTGTATGAAAAGCAAGCGGCATAAGCTGAATACTGACGGACCAAGAGAGATATACAGAGAACATCGCAGGCAGAGCACACATGCACATACACAGACGGAACAAACACCACAAGTGCCTACAAAGCCAAGGGGCACGTTGCGAAAGCATCTAGCCCAGGCGGTGCCGTTCTCAAAACTCGATTGAACGTCCATCCTGGGATCCACTCTAAGGCGCACCATCAGCATTATGGTACTATTAATAGTATGATTAGTATATAAGAAATATTTTTAGGATTGTTATTGGGCCTTTTCTTGGGCTGGAAGAAGCTTGGAATGGTGTAGAGCTTAGGCTTATGCTTTTCGGCCTCGAGGCATAATGCCTCACAGTTTGAGGGCTGAACATGTCAATGGTCAATGGGCCTCTTGCTGCATGGCGAGCCTTGGTCGTACCTCGAGTCGCACATGGTGTAGGGCTCAAGTTTGGAGTTCAAGTTCGTGAGGAGTTCAGATTTCTCGTTTCACGAGTACTGTTTGACACTATTTATGACTCCGTGCTGAGGGTTCACCACATGCATCACCGGAAGTCCCGAGCTATCGTCAGCGAGATAAATTTTGCCCTGCTGGAGGGCAGGCAACCAAATGAATGTATGGGATCTCATTGGCAACAGTTCGTGCCGATCCCCAGCGCTACATGTCAAGAACGTGATGATAGCTCGAACTGGTGAGCCATTGGAAAGGTTCCTGAAGTTAGGGGTCCGTCTTGACCCAGGAGATGGATACCTTGAAACGGGCCAAAGAGTGAAACACATAACGGGAGGGTACCCTTGCAAGCCGGCCTGAGTTTAAGATAGGTTCAGGTGTCTCCTTCTGAAATCTTTTGAAACCTGGAGCCGCGAGACCCGGCAAGAACAACTAACATTTGCGGATAACAGAAACTGCCCTTATTGCTCAGGATCTTACAATTTAAGGCCTAGTTTAGTCCCAGACCCCAGCGAGCAACAAAGCCCCAGTGTACACTCGGATTTATGGAGGGGATGCTCACGGAGTAACCTTAAGAATACCGGGAATGCCCCGCTTCGGTTTGCCAGGCCCAGCGACCAAAATAAGAGCACCTGGAAGCTCACTCATGGAAACCCTGAACCTTGAGTTTGGGGTTTAGGGTTTAGGGGTTTAAGGGTTTAGGGGTTTAGGGGTTTAGAGTTTAGGGGTTTAGGGTTTAGGGTCCACCTTCACCTCAGTCACTCAGAGGCCTGTCGGTTCAAACATCCAACGATCCGAAGCCTTGTGAAGAAAGTACCAAGGCGTAGTCGCTTGGGCTCGACGACCTAAACCCTAAAGCCTGACCCTACGATCCCGAACAGAATCATATCCGCGAAGGTGCAAATTCCCTCCCCTGCATTTGCGCTTTACAAGCAAAATCTCCAGTTTGATTCCATTTAGAACACCAACACACGTTTGCCTTCTCGAATCTGGCAGGATTGTACATACATATGTATGTATATATATATATGTGTGTGTGTGTATATATATGTGCCTAAACCCTAAACCCTAATTCCTTAAATCCCTAAACTGTATATACAACCCGGGGGGTTGCCTACCCAGCCCCCTAGGGTCTGACATGACCGCTGAACCCGAGGCCGCCAAAGGCGGCAGAAATGCTGCAAAGAGTCGCTGCCGCCCTGAAAGTTTAGGGTTTTTGTTTTGTTGAGGGGTTTAGGGTTTTTTGTTTTGTTGAGGGGTTTTGGATTTTTTTTGTGTAGGGTTTCGGGTCTTTTTGTTTGGGGTTGAGGGTTTTTTGTTTAGGGTTTATTAAGGTTCGTGTTTAGAAGGGAGGAGGGGGGCTGCTTCGGGAACCCGAAACCCGGGTTTAGGGTTGTACTAGGGTCTTGGCAGAGTTTAGGGCGCCGGGTTTAGGAATCAGAGTTTAGGTTTTTAGGGGTTTAGGTTTTAGGTGTTTAGGGTTTAGGGCTGAGGGCTGAACACTCACACCTAGGCAACCGATTCTACTCGGAGGTCCATGGCTGGTCATAAGCGGGGTTAAGTAGGGTAACTGTAATTCTAATTCTAACCCATTTTAAGGGACTTGTGACCCCACATAACCCCAGTTCTAGCTACCCATGACCCTCAAAGTAGTCGAGACTCCCTGAACAACTTGAGCGCAGGGAGGCAAGCCATACTCCTTGTATGGATCCAAATATTTTAGGCATTCCTGCATTATACTAGAAAGATGGTGACTATGAGGTGATGTTCCCCTGTAGTACATAGCCATATCCAGCGGCAACATGTGGTTTCCAGGATGTCTGATCTGAGCCTAGGCCTTGTACGAATGATCAAACAACGGTCCAGCTTCTGTTGTCCTCCCATGGTTTTAGCAACAATGTAATTTCGAGTTTACGGCTCAGGAGTGGCTGAAACTGGCACTTTGCATGCAGGACGGCTTGATTGTGATGTAGCCCTCCCTAAACCCCAAACACAGCCTCGTTAGCAAATTTCCGGGAAAGTTGAAGCGGCATGTTGGGGTCCCGTCTTGCTTGTGTGGGGGGGGGGGTGGGGCCTGGGCCGGGCTTGCAGCCATTGTTATAATCTAGGGGCCTTGACGATTAGAAAAAGGATTGGGGTCTTTTGAACTACAATTACAAGAAGGAGTCCCATGGCGATGATGTTACTAATTGGTTATTTAGGCTTCTATATGGTGTGGTTGGCATTGGGTTTTGTTGCCTCCTGCGTTGCTGGATGGCTAGGTTGGTTCGGGTTAGGCACGGCATGTCTATATTCTACGCAGGGGGCTAGGGGAAGTCGAGGACTAAACTTAGTCAATGCAAACGGCGTTGAAGATCATCCCTAAACCTCATGGTCATTCCCGCAAAGAGCCGGCACGCCTGGAATCATGAAGCATTCAAGTTAAGGGCCCTAGGCGTTGACACATCGGCCTGTCGCAAGTTCCGTCGCGGCAAAAAGCGATTTTGGCTCGTGGCCAGTGTGCGCAAGGCCTGTGGCTGCCCTGCAGCAGCCCAGGCAAGCTCGAGAGCCCAACAGCCCTAAATCCTAAAGCTTAAACATCAACCTCTAACCAACCTCTATAAACCTTAAACTTACACCCTTAACCTTACACCCTACACCCTACACCCCTCAACCTTAAACTTGCAGCTTAGGACTTAGGCCCCAAACGGTAAGCCCGATCCTGAACTCCAAACTGCACGCTGAGAACCTTGACCGAGTTTGCATAATTACTTCGTCCAAGTTTGAAGTGCAACGGAAACCCTGTGAAGCCGTATAGAACCCTTAGTGCAAAAGCCTAAAACTCTATCCTGGAAAGCAGAGTGGATGTGCTTACATCTCTGGGGCCCCGGCAAAGCTGAGGGCGTTAGGTCGAAGCTCTGGCCTTAAGGCAGAGACATGGACCCTTAGGGATAATAAGGAAACCATATTATGTACTATAGATCTCTATTATGGTAACTTAAGTACTATAGATCCCTATCATGGTAACTTAAGTACTATAGATCCCTATTATGGTAACTTAAACAAAAATCCCTTAACAAGAACAGCTCTCGAATGCCGCTTGGCACCGGGAAGATCAGAGCTGGAGACAATAGGGTTGATGATATAACTCCTGACGTTACCCATAATAAGGAAGATACCATAATTCCCATGGTTTAGGATCCTTCAATTATCCATAATTAAGGAATATACCATCATTCCCATGGTTTAGGGTTTAGGCAATGCGGTTGATGATATAAACCCTGACATTACCCATAATTAAGGAAGATACCATATAATTCCCATGGTTTAGGGTCCTTAAGGTAATGCAGGATTTATATCATCAACGGTGTGGGGTACGCCGAGAAAGCGAGCGAGCGAGGGGAGGGAGGCTGAGGGAGGGAGGGAAAGACCGGCAAACAAACCCACCGGCAGAATCAGGGAAGAGCGAGAGACAGAGAGAGAGAGGAGACCCGTACCGATGAAACTAAATTTGACCATCACACAGTACCTGCCAATGAAGGGGTTGAAAGGTAGAATATTCACAGGTTTACTTCCGACACAACACATCTGATTTACTCCAACATGTATGGACTCAACCCTTTTTTGCATCCGGGCTTGGGAAGTCGGCCGGCGAAAGTGAGAGAAAACACCAAACCATAAACCCTACCCCAAACCCTAAACCCTGCACCAAATCCCAAAACCACTCGACGCTTGGATTCATCCATAGGCAGAGCTGCCGCCAAGGGACTGTAGACAAGTAAGAGGTCCACAGCTACCCAAGTGCTTCCGGCACAAGGCAGCATAGTGTTCCATAACCTCAGAGCTCTCGATCTCTCGAGTCTTAGGATTTGGGGTTGTCTGGGGATGGAAGGATTTAGACGGATTTGAAGTCTAGGAGCATGTACTGTTTGCGTATGTGCAACTCTTACCAACCCGGGTAAACAGCCGATTCGTTAGCTTAGAAGTACCTCGAAGCCCAACACAAACCCTCAACCCCTAAACTGTAGTGTGGCTCTAAATTGAACCCTACAGCCCGAACTCGCAACCCTCGAAACTCGAAACCCCAAACCCTCTAGTCAAGAGCCCACCCTAAACTCTAAACCCTCTAGTCACTCTAGTCAAGAGCCCATCCTAAACTCTAAACCCTAAACCCTCTAGTCACAAGAGCCCACCGTAAACCCTAAACTCTATAAACCCTAGAGTCAAGAGCCCAAAGAGTCCGAGGCACTCAAAGGAGGCCGTGAGTCCGGAAACCTGGCATCGAGCTGCTGAGAGGCTCTGGGCTTTAGCGCACTTGAGGGCTTTAGGGATTATAGGGTTTAGGATTTCGGGATTTAGTGCTTTAGGGGTTTAGGGATTATAGGGTTTAGGATTTAGGGGTTTGAGGGTTTTAGGGCTAGGTTGAGGGTTTAAGGTGTTAGCAGTCAAGACTTTTGGGTTCGCGGGCTTCGGGCTTTTAGGGTTTAGGGTGATATGCAGGGTTTGCTGCGACTCTTCCAAGGATTTACGCCTCTCGGTCTCAGGCCTAAGACCCTCCGCCACACCCTCTTTCGACATGGTAAACTTACACCCTAAACCCTAAAGCCTAAACCCAGAACCCTATAATTTAATCCTAAAGCCTCAAAACTAAATACCCTTGAAACCTTTAAGCCCAAAGCCAGAAACAAAAATGAAGACGAGGGCAACCTGAGCCTTTCCGGTATTTGAGAGTCATGCCCCCAGAACTAAAATGCATGCATACCCAATAACTTACCGGCACAATCTCTTTATTTTCTATGCATCTACCCACGTGTCTATCTGTACTGTTGTCTTCTTTAGAGCTATGTGTACCCAAACGGTTGAAAACTGTACAGGTATGTGCAGTTGCAGCGGAATGCAAAAAAAAAACAACGAACCTTTTCTGTTGCAACGACTTAAGGATCAGATCCCCCAAAATGCTCGGGCGATCAATGGGATGTTGCAGAGTCTTTTTTGCCTCCCACAGTCTCAGAGTGCAGGGTTGTGAAAGTCGGGCCAGGTGTTCGTTTAGGTCTTGGCTTAGGGCTCGTGGGTGCTTATCGTAGGCAAGCGATCAAAGAAAGTTGAGGTCATGCGAAACTCGAGAGATATAGGGGCCCTGATGATTAAAATGGGGCCTTGGGGCCCATTAGGATTTTTGATTTGCCCCGAGCACCTCGGTACCCTCCAACGAGAACTGAAAATATGATGCCGACGCCCACGGAAGCACAGAGCAACACGAAGTCTGAAACCTCAACATCCCTGGCAGCGTGGTTTCATAGTGAAGGAAATCTCTGATCTTCTGACCGCCGTGCTCGTGTTTCGGATGTCCGAAGATTACAGACAAAGACCGCAACCCGAAACCCTGCATTATAGCCTGATAGCCAAACCCCCCTGTCTCGACGGACCGAAAAAGCCTTCAGTCCGAAACATCCGGATCCCCACTATTTCATCTCTTTACGGGAAAAACTCGACATTTCCCCTACCCCGAAACCCAAGCCCTAAACCCCCATTTTCACAGCAACAGAAGGGACCTCCTGCTCGCTTGCGAAGGTGCGAACTACAGCAAGTTCTTGCTCAGCTGCGACTCCTTAGGGTTTTGGGGGAGCGTGAGGTTTTCAGGGTTTAGGGTTTAGGGTTTTCAGGGTTTGTAGGGTTTTCGGGATTTAGAGGGCTTAAGGTTTAGGGTTCTGTTTTCCGGATTTAGAGGGTTGAATGAATGGGGCTTTAGGTCTTGAGGATTCTAGGGCTGATGGCTTTAGTGCTTTAGAGCCTTAGGTCTTTAGGGCAGTCAGTGGTCTAGGGCAGGGTTTAGTCTGTAATTTAGGAGCCTTAATCATTAGAATTGCGTGTTGGGGTATACTATACTATAACCATTCTAGTAAGGAAACAGCAAGTAGTAGCCCCCTCTAGTAGCATTAAGGATTTACTGTTTCGACCTGTAGAGCTTTGAGTTGAACTCAGGACTTGCAAGCACGGGCTAGGCACTACACGGTTTGGGGTTTAGGCTACATTACCCACAGCTGCATCAATGGCATGTCAATGTCACCCTTTGCAACACCAACCGGCTATGCACAGTCATAGTAGTATCGCAGCGAAGCTCGAACAGTCATCATCAGTGTATATTAGCGTGACACTGGACGTGCTCATGATACCGCAGGTAGCCGATGCGAAAAAAAGTTGGTACTTGTTCGGAAGTAGAGAACAGAATGATGGCAACACCACAAGCAGCTCTCTTCATCCGTATACTGCAGCAGCAGCACCACTACCACCACCAGCGCAAAGCTCAGCAGCGGCTGCAGGAGGCAACAACAAATGTAGCAATACAGTGAAGCATATAATTGGTGTGGCAGTAGTTTCTGCAGCTGAAGCAGCAGCTACAAGTAGTGCAAGCAATTGTTGGAGTGATCTCAAAGCCACTGTTGTTCCTACGGGCAGATCACAGCTGCTGAAAACAACATGAACACGTTCTGACCCAGCCTTTCAAGCTACGAGGCCTCGCGATGGGACCTGCGACCACGAAATCCGTGGCGGTACTTTGAGATTTTCCAAGCTCCCCAAAGCCGAACCGAGCCCAAAACACCGCAAAAAACGGCGGCAACGCAACCATGATTAGCTACACGCGAACATCCCTTCCACGCTCAACGCATCGACCTGTAAATACTCCGGCAACCCAAGACTCTTCCAGACCTCCGGCAGAAAAAAAAAACCTTCAAATCCCTCTGAACCCTATAATACTAACCCCTTTTTGCAACAGGCTTTCCACCACTAAACCCTAAACCCTGAACCCCAAGACAGGAGCCTCAATACTAAGACGCCGCCAGATTTTTCTGGGGACCAAACTTGCAGCGAAAGCCATGGAAACGAGGATCCACATCATGGCCTGTGAACATCGAAAAAACATTGAACTTACAGAAGTACGAGCTTTAGGGTTTGTTTGGGTTTAGGGTTTAGTGTGGCTTAAGGTCTTGTACCAATGGTCGTCACCCTTAGCAGGAGACATTCCTCTTCGGCCAGCCACCCTAAGCCGAACCTGCAGGGGTTGCGGAGGCTGCGGGATGGAACTTTACAATCTGCCCTGCAACGTTATCAGCGAGAATGCCTTCTGCTTATATAGAGCATTTCTTGCGTTCACGCTGCTTGTCTGTGTGCCTTTCTTGCTTTGTCCAGAAAGAAAAACCTTAACTTGAAACGTAGTTCAAAACGGACGAGTTCTTCTGCATGTGTTGCTGTGGGTATTCTGCCTCTGGCATGGTTTGCATTTTCGGACCACCACCGGCTTCCGTCCACTTCAGTCCCGTTGCATGCCGGGTGGTTCCACGGCTCCGATATAATTCGTGCTCCCACCGCAGCCCCATGAATATGTGGCAGCCTTACAGATCAGATAGTATTCTATAGGATTCCTTGATACAGTTTTATGGTAAGCTGTACCCAAAACAAAACCTTGAGTTTCTGATTACTAAAGCCCCTGCATGAGCGAAACAAGTTCTCGCAGGTCCTGCCAAGTTTTGGAGGAGGCAAGCTTGCACCCATCATCCGCAAGCTGGTGGCTCACCATCTTGACAGCCAGAGCCCTTGGTAGTGTTCGCCGATAACTGGGAAGACCCCCGCACCCCAAGGCTCGGACTGATCAAATCAAAGCCAGCACTCAATGGCTCAAAGCGATCCGGGAACTGCGGAACTTGAAGAAACCATCTGCAAGGCCTGATGCGAGAACAACCGCCGGCGTCGCATCTTTAATCCTTGCGCGCTACCGACAGGGTGAAACAGGCTGCGGCATTGCAGCTGAGAAGTGCGGTGGTGGCAATGTCGGATCTGGTAGGGGGCTAGTTTATCCTATGAAGCCTCCCCCAAACTCACACAAGACGCGTACATGAAACCATCAACGCTAAACATCTTTCGACGTTACTAGCAACTGGGACCGCCGAGGGCAAGTTTGAGACAGTTGGTTGTAAAGGTGTTAAAACCCTAAACCTAAACCGGTCTGTGGACGGCTACAGGCACTTACCGCACCTCCTACGTGGCGGTTGCTATCTTTGAACCACCGAGGCTTGAGCCAGACCAGGAGTCGAAGACTTTAGGTTTAGGGTTTAGACTTCGGTTTCGGGGTTTAGGGTTTAGGGGTTGCTTAACCCCTCAATTTTGTCTTCTCATCTCCGGCTGTGTGTTGATGTGTGTGTGTGTTTATATATATATATATGTATGTGTGCATTCGTGTGTGTGCTTGCGAGTCTTCCCTCCCTCTCTCTCAACCCTAAACCTCTCCCTCTTCCTCTCTGTACCTGGCTGTCTGCAAATCGAACCCCACAGTTTTGGGTGGTGTACGCACTCCCGTTCGCCCGCACGCAATTTTTTGATGCTACCAAGACGAGCATAAAACCAAACCCTCCGAAGTAGTTGGGCCTTCCGGGGCCCGAGACAAGAACGAGCGAGGAATGTTTGAAAGGTGCCGGCGTGAATTGCTTCATAACCATCTCACTCTGTCTCTGTCTGTCTCTGTCTGTCTCTCTCTGTCTCTCTCTCTCTCTCCCTCTCTCTCTCTCTCTCTCTGCCCCATGTCCCTCAAACTGTACACATTTTCGTATACAGCGGCACATACGCAAGCACAGAAGCAGAGACGGGCACCTATACATGCATTTACACATGCAAAGTATGGCAACCGCACACATGCATGCAAGTGTGGATAAATATATACATACGTACGCGCATACAGATGCACAAGACTTTCGCGTTGCCCACACGGGCATTCCTGGTCATATGACTACTTCGGTCGTATAAGAATGCCGCATGATCGCTTCTGCGATAAAACACTGCACCCTGCACCCTGCCAGAACACATTCTGTCAGAATGAAGCTCACATATTATGCTGACATGTTTTTCGTTAGCCTTTCATCCTTTCACTACTGGCCTTGTAATGTGACGAAACACTCCTGGTTTGAGGATGCCGGCTATATCCAGGGTGTGACTGCTGATGTCGCCCTTGCCGTTAGCAGTACCGTAGACGTCGTCGCCAATCTGTCATCTTTGCTTGCATCGCTTCTGTTCTTGCTTCTCCCGCTGCTGCTGCTGCTGCTGCTGCTGCTGCTGCTAGCTGTTAGCATTCACATGTATACACCCTTTTTTGTACAAATGTTTCAGCGTCTGCGGCTTCACTTTGCTGATTTAAATTTACTGCAGATCTTCGAGTCTCACTGTGATACAACACTCGGATATCTGCGCTCACATGCTGAACGTAGTAAGAGGAAGTATGTCTTCTAACACAAGAACAAAAAAGACAGGAATTTCTACATCTATCGGCAGGACGAGGTTCATGGTCAGTATCCGTCACATAGAAACGTAGCACCAAAAACCTGGATTAGGGCACGCTACACCCTCAGCCCTAAGCCGTAGTGTAGTAAAAGTAAGCCTTAAATTAAAGATCGGACACGTCTCATAGCACAGCCCAGAAATGAGGCCCCTCATCCCTGAACCCTAAACCCCTCTTGCATCGCGGAAATCCTGAAATCCTAGGACCAGTCGGGAGCTCTATGTAATCTTATCAGAGCCGAATAGACTTAGAATAGACCCGACTAGAGTTGACTACATCGGACCGGCCCAGTCTTCTCCGGCACAATTTCTTTAAAAAATTAGGAAAAGGTATATGCAATGTTTATGTTCATATCAAAACAGAATATAAACGTGTGTACAACATACATATAGCGCCTTTCTTTGGTTGCTCCGCATCTGCAACGACGGCTCGTGGAGCCCTACGGCTTTCGGCCGACGAGTTGTCGTGCTTGCAGGGTCGACGCACGGCCAACTCAATCCGAGCATGCAGCCGGCGTATACAAGGGCCTGCATAATTATAGGCGTTTAGGGGTATATTCTAGCATACTTACATTAAGGAAATCGAAGTATTGGTAATTATTCAGGCCCATGTATGAAGTAAGTACTGGAGCAAAACGACCTGACTACAAAACCAGCAGCTCCCTCGAGAGCAACCTGGACCTGGAATGCCGAACATACGCACGAACTGTAAAGTTTAAGGGTTTAGAGTTGAGGGTTTAGGGTTTAGCGTTTAGGGAAGACTGATGATAGCCGTAGGGGAATCTATGAGGTCGGCACTCAATGCTCATCTCTCGACAGGTGTCCAACAAACGGAAGCTGTGAAGTAGCCTTCATCCTAACAAAGGCCACAAAGGCTCGGAACGCCAAACCTGAACCCCCAACAGACTATTTGCCTCCTCAGCCGTGCTCCCTAATTGATTTAGAGGGCGTAAATAGTTGAACAAGTTCTACAATCCTATACTCTTTTAGGGACTGTGAGGGGATACTACTTGTGATTGATCAGGCTCCTAACTTGTACAAAAACAATGGAAACCAAAATCCACATCGAAGTGGCTCTGCTGCAAAGTGTTTCACCAAATCTTCACGGATCTTCGCGGATCGAAAAGCTGCTAAGAAACAAGCAAAGAGCCCTTATCTTCAAGCATGTGGCTAGTATACATGCATGCAGGATCCTACACATGTGTACGTACATACGCATGCATGCACGCATGCACAGGTAGATAGCTAGGAATGCATGCATGCATGCAGAGGTAGATAGCTAGGGAACTTAGTTGATAGATAGATAATCGACAGGCAAACAAAGATAGATAGTCCGCTAGTTACTTAGCTAGCTAGCTAGCTAGCTAGTTAGTTTGTTTGTTAGCTAGTTCGTTAGTCATTCAGTCAGTTGCCAGTAGTTATTTAGTTAGTTAGTTAGTTAGTTAGTCAGTCAGTTAGTCAGTTAGTTAGCTAGCTAGGTAGTTAGTTAGTTAAGTAAGTAAATTAACTTAGTTGAGTTAGCTAAGTTAGTTAGGTAAGTTAGTTAGCCAGATAGGTAGATAGTTAGTTAGACAGACAGATAGGCTAGGTAGCTGACATAGATAGCTTGCATTACATAGATGAGGCTAGATTAAGTTAGGTTAGGTTCTGGATTCGTGTATGTCAGACAGACAGCCAGACGGACAGACAGTAGATAGGTGCATATTCATGCATGCTCGTATCTCCTCGTCATTTACTCAGTCCCAGAAGATGCACAAGTCTGATCATGGCTTACAGCACTAGTGCTAGAGAGGGAGGTTGCTGCCAAATTCTTCCGAAAATCCCCGCTTGCGGGTATTCCGCTGTAGAAAAACACGGCCGAGGGGTTCAGACGTGGGTGATCTTGACCTCTGGCAGGGTGTGTTTAGAAGGATCAGGGCACGTACGAACTAGCGCTGCAATTAGGGTAACTACGATCTACGACCAGGACTGTTTCCAACCGCAAACATGGCTAGACTACCTTAGCATCTGGTGCACTTTCATGTGGAAATGGTGGCTTCTGCGTTGTGCTTTGGGGTTTGAGGTCTTTGACTTGGGGTTCAGTGCATAGTATAGGGCTTATGAGGCTCATACGGGTCTATTCCCCCCAAATCCTATCGTCTAAAAGACACACACATACATACATTCATTCATACATTCATACATACATACATACATACATACATATATATATATATAGATTTTTTGTAAAGAGAAACTATTTACAAGAAGCCCTGAAAAGGAAGGCTGTGGTGTGGAGCTCAGGGCCCTCAAGGAGCGCAGCCGAGAAAACCTGGTGCCTCGGGCATCTTCTCTGGCACGATGAAAGTGTCCTTTCCAGGCTTCGGAAACTTCGGCGGAGTTTGCGGAGTAGGTCTGGGGTTATAGAGGTTTCGGGTTTGGGGTTTAGGGTTTAAGGGTATCCTTCAAACGTTCCCAGCAGGAGGGATAAGGGTTCTATGCATGTCTAGGATTTCTTGAGATTCGGAGTTTGGGGTGGACAGTCTTGGATTTAGGGTTTGGGGTTTATACTCTCCTCACAACTCGGAGAAGCCCGGCGAGGTCTCATGATAGCAGGTCGGCGTGACATACTGTTGATGATCTAAATCCTGCGTTGCCTTAAGGGCCCTAAACTTCTGGTGGATTCCTTATTATGGGTAATGCAGGATTTATATCATCAACTGTAGGGTTTAGGGTTCAGGAGTTCCGGCAAAGGTTTCGGGATGGTATAGGGTTTAGGGTCGATAGGGTTAAAGAGAAGGGAGCACCCTTCGCTTTGGGTATACTTTTTGGGCTTCTCAAGGATCTAGGTAGAATCCCTGAGCCCAGACTCTTGATAACCGTTGGAGCCACCTGCCTAAAGAAACATAAATGACAACGCTAGAAGAAGGGGCAAGGAGCCCTAAAATGCTGGGGATCTCGTTGTCTTGAATGAAGAATTCAGGCTTGGGGTTTTATGAATGTTGCGGTTCAGATGGGCTCAGGATTAGGCTGGGATCGGGGCTCAAGTGGTATCAAGATTGGGGTTTAGGGACAGTTTTCAGGGTATGGGGTTTTTCTTTTAGGGTTTAGGGCTTAGGGTTCAGAGTTTAGGGCCTAGGGTTCAGGAACTATAGGGCCTGTGGGTTTCGGGTCAGGGCGCAAAGGTGGCTGTGGGCCTTGCTACTATAAGGGGGCCTAAACAATTACCAATACTATTGTGGGGGGATATCATGACCGTATACTATTACTATACCCGCCAAACCTTATTCTAACTATTGGGGCCCCTACGTTATTGCGGTTTCAGGAAGACCGCAAGGGCTTCCGGGTTCCGGGGCCTTCGTATCTTACAACGGGTCTATAGTATAGGATGCTAAGACTTCATGCCAAGGAAACGAGTGTTGATTTTACATAAGCTACCTGAAGAAAGATGCATGGCAAAGTAGCAATCATGCTTGGAACAGAATGTCTCGAATACTACAGAAGAACCGAGAGAAATTGGGCTTAGGATGCGGTGCTTGCGGATAAAGCTTGAGGGCTTTACTGCATGGTGCTCGAGGGAAGCTGTTTTTCTTGAACCCAACTCGCTTTTGTGGCTTTGCTATCAGAGTGGTCGGGAGAGGAGTCCCCAGGCGGCTTTAGCAGGTTTAATAGAACCGAAAGCCTTTGAAGCCGAAATGTCTGCCTTTCTTTGGATTTTCGGATCTCTAACAAAATCTATGAGCATGCTCTCTGGAGCAAACGACATGCCTCAGTCTTCATGCCCCTCATTGACCCCTCTTCATGCAGATATCATGCATTCAAGCCGCGTGCACACGTGGGATATGTCCCGGCTCCGCTTCGAATCGGAACTTTGCAATGAACCTAAGATAATCTCTGTGCTCTCAGAAGAGGGTCTGACATTTGTTGCAAAACTTGCTCTCTCAAAGTCCATATCACCCGGGGTAAAGGTGCGTTCTCGGTCCTAGAGCACGCCGTCATCTTCAAACACGGTCCGATCATGTTCATATGCACAATGCGACAATCAACCAGATCAACCATGTCAAGCTGACGCTCATTCCACAGCCGCCCCGATCTCGGTGACAGGTTACCCCATGCTAAAGAATGCTTCGGTAGAAACAAACCTGGATTGCAAAGCTTCGAGCGGCAATTTTGATACAATGGTCCATCATCATTGTCATCATCATAAGCAGCAACCAGCGGGAGATGGATACTGACACTACTCCTGGTGGGTGTGGCGCTATACAGTCCTCAGCCACGTGAAGAGATAGGGTTGTGGCATGGCGAAAAGATATTGAGCTACAGGGGGAAGTAACTTCACATGCGGTAGAAAAACTGAGATGCAGCTTGCATCGACTTCCCCTTGCATGCAACGCATCCGTTTACCGCCGTTGTTGTTTCTGCACTCAGCTCACGGGGCAGCTGACAGCTCGATCTCGAGGTTCAGGATTTGGGGGATTACGGCTTGGGGCTCACAGGGATTTAACCGTGAAACATAAACTAGGCAAGAATTCAAAACCAGGCTGAACATGACAATGCTTCTGCAAAGCTCAGCTAGTCAAGCACTTGAGCTGCCAAGATGGCCCAGTCGAAGCCCTTAACCTTCAATCAGCCTAAATCCTAAAGCCAGCTTCTTCAGAGCCAGAAATTCTAGGTTGGCCCTTTTAAAGTTTTAAAGCCTTTTCAACATTTTCGCGCAGGAGAGCCTGCTAGGCACAATAAGAGAAATTTAAAATGTCGGAAAACCGTACCTTTAGTTTGGATCACTTTAGTTAAGGTTTTTTTTGTAGAGTTGGAAGAGGCGGCTGAATCCTCTGCAGCTCTACTTTCACGTGCTGCATCAGCTATTACTCTGAATATAACAGAACCTTCAGGTAATCTTTCCGCCATGTTTCTGGGAGATGAGGATCATCATCTCCATTTCCGCAAGCCGTGCACCAAGGCACATGCGAGCTCCGAAGGAGAAGGGCTTCTCGATCCTTGTTTAGACAGGGATGGATAAAATCAGCAGCTTGATGACAATTTTGTGCATGTGCGTATGCACGTAACTGTGGCTGCACGCAAATATGATGTGTACCTGTATGTATAGATGCATTCATGTAGGCATGCACGCATGTATGCGACTATGCATGTATGCAATGTGATCCGAAAAAATGCGATGCGGCGCGACGCCATGAAATGGGATAGGATGGAATGCAATGCAATACAGAGAAGTGCTATGCTGTGCTACGTCCTGACTCCACGAACCCCTGAAAGTTAATTTGAAGAGCCATTGCCAAAACAAATCTACAGACCCCCCTCCTTCAGAATTTTAGGGAACTTTGATCCTTTAAACCCACAGCTCCGCGACTAAAACAACTAAAACCCTGCAAAAGCCTATAACAGCCTAAGCCAGTGAACTTACAGAACCTTTCTACACTGCTTATAGGAACCCATGATATCCTGAAAAGAAACAGAGTAGGCTTAGGGCTAGATATGCTTGGTTTAGCTTTTTTTGGGGGGAGGGGGGGTAGAGGTTGAGGTTTAGGTTGCAAGTTTAATGGTTTACTGTAGAGGTTTGGGTTTACTTGGAGGTTCATGGGTAGTTATAAGTGGAGTTATAAGTAGGGTAACTGTATTTATAACCCAAATTAGGGGACTTATAACCCCACTTACAACTACCCATGAACCTCCAAGTAGGGGTTTAGTATTTAGGGGCCTGGGTCCCAGTGGCAACTTGTGGTCAAGCAGGGACTTCAACGGGTCGTTCTTGCGTGCTTGCACGGCCTCGCGAGAGATAAGAGCAGGACGTCGCCAAAAGTTTGAAAAGGGCCCTAGAAGGGTTTCCAGTAGCCTTCATAAGACAGTTTCAGGGCTGTAACATTGAGAAGTGCTTCTAGAGGGTTGTAAAGCGGCTTAAGATGGGTTTATTATAGGGGATCTATATAACAGGGCGGTGTGTTATGGGTTTCGGGTGGGGAGGGGTTAGACTGGGCGTCGGCTTTTAAGTTGAGGTTCCGGTTTAGGGTTGAGGCAGCAGTTAGTTAGTTTGGTTGCTGCTAGGACGAGCCTACGATGCAGGATACTTGGCTTAGCACAGGTCAGAGCACCCTTACTCAGGGTAAAAGTCTCAGGGTTTAGACGGTGGCCGGGGTTAGAGTTGAGTGAATTGTTTTTGTCCTCTGCCTTGCTTGACTGACTGGGCTAGCTGTAGGGTTGACTAAGAGTTTTAATGATATTAATTAGTGCTCGGTGTGAGCAAGAAGCACATGGCGCTAGCCAGAGGAGTGTGTCCATGTCTAGGCATGCCCACTTCCCCGAATGCCAATTCAACAGCATGCGCAGCCCTCACAGGCTTGGCCCCCCCAAAAAAAAGAAACTGCACTTTCACTTTGGTCTTCCGTCCCACAACCAGGTCACGGTTTCAGGTCAGTGAGCTGTGGGATGGGGGTTTCGCAATTTGGTTTAGAAGTGGGAATCCGATCCGATCTGCGATAGTCAGATCCGTTTCCAAGAAGGAACAAGAACGGCTAGACACAGCGGTTCCTCCCCAAAAAGACCTGTTTGAGGGCTCATGTGACTCATAGGTAGGTAGTTACCGGGTTTTAGGAGTAAACATGCATAGGGTTGCCTTCTCTATCATTAACCCTACACTAAGTCTCTGAACATACACCCTATGTGCCATAAATACAGGGTCCCTAAACCCAAAACCGAAAACCCTCAACTCTTGATGCCCTGCGTACCAAGTACCTGATCATGTCATTAGTTACACGAGATCTGGACTGAAGGTACTCCTAGGGGGCTCAACAAAGCGTTTAGGGTTTAGGGGTTTTAGGGGTTTTAGGGTTTAAAGGGTTTAGGGTTTACATCATGATGAAAATATTATGGTTTCGTGTTACATGATATTGCAGTTACAAGGGGGAACCATAAGGCCCTAAAGATGACTCTTGCAGAGTCTTCACAAAAAAGACACACACACACACAAACGCCCAACCCTGAGGCACCAAACAAAACCCAGCCCAAGCCACAAACGCTAAAACCCTGCACCCCAGATTCAAACCCTAAAAAACCCAAAAGACCCGGAAGCCCTACAACCCTGAATCCCAAAGCCCTTAAAGCCCCAAAGCCCCAAAACCCAAGCACAAAGCCTCGGCCATAAAGCGTTCAGGCCGGAAGGCCTTCTAAGGGGCCGAGTACCCTAGCCCAGAAAAGGTTAACCTTTCCTAGTTAGGGTACGAGTAGGGGTTTAGGGTTTAGGGGTTTAGGGTTTAAGGCTTAAGTTAACCTTTCTAACTATGGCAGGGTTATATAAACCCCCAAGAGGTGAAAGGTTGCCTACCCGGCCCCTGAGCCTTCGTGGCATGGCAAAGGTGGGCCAATGGGTTGCGGGTTTTTTTGCTTTAGGGTGTTAAGGAAGCCCTTTTAAATGGGGCTTGAAGGGTTTTAGGGTTTAGGGCTTTTTAGGGGTTCACGATTTGGGGTTTAAGGTTTAAGGTTTGGGAACTTGAAGCTCTAAGGCTTTAGGGCCCTCAAGGCTTTAGGGCTTTGTCGGCTTTTAGGGTGTAGGGCTTAGGGCTTTTAAGGTTTGGGGCTTCAGGGCTTTAGGGTTAGGTTTTTTTTAAGGCTGTAAGGCCTTATTGGGTTAAAGGTCTTGGGGCTTTAGGGCGTTATGGCCATAGGGTTTTCGGGCTTCAGGGTTTTTGGGGTTTGTGATTGTAAGGCGTTGGGCCTTTGGCTTTAGGGCTTTAGGGTTTCAGGGTTTAGGCTTTAGGGCCTTTGGGTTTTGCATTATATGTGCTTTAATGTTTAGAGCTTTAGGGGTTTAGGGCTTCTTGGGTTTTAGGGCTTAGGGCTTTAGGGTTTCAGGGTTGCCAGGCTTTTTTGCATTTCAGCTTTAGGGTTTGGGTTTTAAGGCTTTAGCGTTTGGAGCTTTCTGGCTTTAGGGTTATGGGGCTTCAGGGCTTTCAGGGTTTAGGGCTTTAGGGCTTTCGGGTTTTGGGCTTTCGGGGTTTAAGGTTTCAGGGTTTCGGGTTCGGGGCTTGCGGCTGGTGGTCCAGGTTTAGGGTTCAGAGTTAAGGGGCTTCTTTTCCCACTCGCAGGATTACGGTTTAGGGTCGAGGGCTGAGGTGTAGTGTTTAGGGTCAAGAGTTCAGGGTTTATAGATGTAGGGGGTTTGTGGCTTAGGCATGTAGGTTTGGCTGGCCTTGTCAAATTTCGGGACAATAGAAAAACCCTAAACCCTCAAACCCCCACACCCTGAACGCCCACAATCCCTGAACTCTCTGAGCAGGGGTGTCGAAATGGCCATGCCTGCACCGAAGAGATTGATACCAGAAAGCCATGGAAACCAAAGATCTTACTGTCAAAGACAGTGCGTTCCAAGTCTGGTGTACGGGCTCGTGAGTAGGGTTAAACCCTAATTTCCCTAAACCCTAAACCCTAAACTCTAATTTCAAAAACCGTTTGGGCCTTGGGGCTTCCAAGACTATTACACGCCTGCAGGGCGGAGGCATCCTAAGCGCTTAAGCCCGTCTGCAGCCAGGGCCACCCAGGGATCGTCGACAATCTTCGGATCTCGTTGAAGAATGGCGCTGCCCATGTCAATCCGGGTGCCTTCAGGCTTTGGGCTTAAGTTTTGAATCGGTTTCCCAAGTGTCGAAGACTCTTAGACTGTTGAACGAGGGCCTTTGTCTGACTGGGGCTTTGTCGAAGCTCGCATGAATGAAACTCTTCTTACCAAGCCTCGGTCTTTGTAGTTCTTGGTGATGGTACACTGAAGTACAACAAGAAGTAGTAGCAAGCAGCAGTAGCAATAGCAGTAGCAGGAGCAGGAGCAGAAGCAGCAGCAGCAGCGGCGGCAGCAGCAGCAGCAGCAGCAGGAGGAGGAGGAGGAGGAGTAGTAGTAGTACCCTACACGCCTTTGTTTGATCGTGGGTCCGACTGCTTCAGGAGCTTGGCTGGAGGGGGTGGGGTGTGGGGGGGGGTGGGGGGGGGGGGGATAAGAACGTCCTGCTCCAAGCACACACATGTTGATTTTTTCACTTAACCCTGAACCCTAACCCCGTTGACTTCTTGGCCGAAGCCTCAACCCTCAGCCTTAACCAAACCATCTTTTTCCCAATCGAAAACCAACTTTTTCCTAGGGAAAACCGAAAAACCATCTTTTTGGAGTTTGGCCGTATAGTTTCCCAAAAGATGGTTTTTTGTTTTTCCTAGGAAAAATTTGGTTTCTGATTGGAAGAGTAAAGTGTTGCCGTTAAGTGCGTGCTCACGTCGAACCCGAACGAGGTGCCTGGCGGTTGGTTTTTGATTGGAAGATTACAGTGTTGCGGTTAAGTGCGTGCTCACGTCGAACCTGAACGAGTTAACGGGCGCTTTCTCTTGAAATGTGCGTTTGCTTTTGGGCAGTCTTGGAGAGATACGGGGCCGGACCTGCCGGAAAGGCTGGTTTAATACGGTATTTACGATACAAAACGAAGGTCGGTGGTTCATGTGCAACCGGTGCAAAAAGGACCCAGAGATGTGCAAAGGGGACCCAGCAGGCGAGAACAGGTAGGAAAAACCAACCTATATATGGAACGGGTGCAAAAAGGACTAAAAGGTTCAAAAGGGACCCAGAAAGGGAGAACAAGCAGGAAACAAAAGCCCCGTATATGGAACGGGTGCAAAAGGGGCCTAACAGGTGCAAAAAGGGACCCGAAGAGGTGCAAAAGGGGCCCAGACAGGTCAGGTGCGAAGGGGGTCCAGACGGGGAGAACAAGTAGATACATACGAAACGGGTGCAACCAGGACCCAAAACAGCGGCAAAAAAAGCCAAACCCCTAAGGAGTCTGAAACCCCTCAAAAGGAACCGTAAAGTAGCCCTTACAAAAACCCTTACTAAACCCATTTAAACCCTAAGCCTTACAAAAATCCCAGCCCTTAACCCAGAAACCCTAAACCCTAAACCTTACAGACACCAAACAAGCCCCCCCGAAAGTGCGCCGGAAAGGACGGGGACGAAGACGATGCGACTCTCAGCGATGACGAGGCCGAGGATGGCGGCGACTCTGAGGAGGAGCCGGGCTCCCGGGGGGACCCTTTACGGGTTCCTTGTTTGGGTTCCTTGAATCGATTACCTTGAGGTTTCCTCCAAGAAGAGTCGTTGGGGGTCTAGGGTTTTATGGGTTTTAAGGTTTAGGGTTTAGGGAGTTAGGGATTTAGGATTTCGCGTTCAGGGTTTCGGCATGTAGGATTTAGGGTTTAGGGCTTAGGGTTTACGGTTTGCGGGTTTTAGGTAGTGTTTGGGGTTTTGGGGTTTTGGGTTTCGGATTTGGGGTTGTTTACGTTTAGGGAGGAGTCTTGGGTTGGGGTTCCTTCAAGGGCTCCTTTTAAGGGTTCTTTTTTGGGGTTTATGGCTCCCGGGTCTTTGGGTTCCTTCGAGGCTTCCTTGTTCCGTTATGGGTTTAGGCTTCCTACAAGGGCTCGCTTGAGGATTTCAGGGTTTAGGGCTTGCTTAAATGTGTGGTGACGTTTTTCTGTTTGATTCGATACTTGCACACCCCACACCCTAAACCCTAAAGCGGATTATGGTCGCGTTCGGCTCAGCGCATGCATGGGCTCATTGGGATTCAGAGGTTTCTGCGCATCTGGGATTTGGGGCCCCAAGGAACGGCTCAAGGGTTGAGGGTTGCCGTCTTGGCGCTTGCGTGGTGTTTCAGTTCAAGCTTTGTGAACTGAACTATCCATACTAATCAGGCTAAACAAGTTTCGCTGCTTCTGCCGCCATCAGTACCTGGATGATGATGGTGATGATGATGATCAGAGCGACGGCGACGATGATGATGATGGTGAGAGCGACGGTGGTGATGGTGATGACGATGATGACGATGATGTCGATGATGATGATGATGATGATGGCGGTGGTGATGATGATGTTGGTGATGATGATAGTGATCGTGAGCGTGATTGTGATGGTGATGGGGATGGTGCTGGCGATGATAATCATGTCACGGGAGGAGTTTTGCTTGATGATAAAAAAACACAACAAACACGCTGTTAATTTTAATCACAATAGGTGCCATAATACTGTTGATGGTGATGGTTGTCACGGTGGTAGTTATGTCACAGTCGATGATGATGTATGCTATCGTCCTTACCGTTCTGCGATGATAACGGTGATGACCGGCTAATCATGCCGTCTAGATGTATATGCGTACCCAACCTCTCTGTAAGCCAGTCGAAGAAGCTTCTCCAACGCATGGACTTTTATGAGACACTGAAACAACACATTTGTAAACCCTGAGCCCTACACCCCTACATAGTATAACGACGCACAGTGGGTTCCTTAACTTTAGCGCAGATCATCCGGAAAGTCCGAGCTGCGAAACCTGTCACCGCCTTTTTTACCTTCCTGAAGTCTGGTTGTCAACACGGCCCTGTGGATGTAAGCCCACGCCGTAACGCGTGAGTCATTTGAACCCCAGAGCATCCACAAGACTGCTACGGTATGAATGGCAGTAGTTATAGGGTTCCTGATGAATATCTCAACTGTCACCCGGACCAGAACCATGTTCAAACATGAGAGTCTTATCGGCAGTTCCAACCGGTTATCAGACGGTGATCATCCGCGATACCAGGGCAGTAGTAGTTGGAGCATTGCCGTGAGTATACAATGTAATACTGTTACGGCCAGTATACTCCGCAATACTGTTACTGGTACGGGGGCAAACAAATGGCAACAGCAAGAGGAACAGCAACAACAACAACAACGAGAGCAATAATGATGACGACTAGGAGGAGCGGTAGGAGGAGGAGGAGGAGGAGGAGGGGGAGGAGGAGGGCGTCGACTACTACGGCAACAGCAAGAACAGTGGCCTGCGTATCAACAGCGACAGCATGAATAGCGACATCAGCAACAATATCTTCTGCAGCGGGATTGGGCTACAGAGTATGTACATACATATATATATACATATATTCATATAGCAATACTTATGTCATATAATGTATAATATGCAATATATAACCTATAGACTATTGCCGATCGTGTACATTTCTATAATATGTAGTGTATAGTAAGTATATGATATATAAGATGTAAGGCTTGGTATGTAACATATAACAGAAGATACTCAGTACATATCATATAACCCATTTTTACATAACTCATATTATGTATTATATGTGTTATATATTATATTGTATATAATATAATCTATAACATGTAGTATATAACCTATAATCTACAGTATATAAGATAGAATGTGTACTACATAGCATATACAAGTATATATAGTATAATATATAGTGAAATGATGTATATATAGCGTTCACTATAAACATATAGTACATCATATGTATTGTATAACATGCACTATACAATACAGAATGAATACAGTATAATTTATAATTTACAATGTACTATATATAGGTAGGTTTAGAGCTTCATTTTCGGGTTCCGGGATCGCTGGGCTGAGGCTGGTCTCTCGTCCGCAGCCAACTTTCGTACCTGGGAAGATTAAGGCAGGATGTGCTGGGGAGCGGTTATGCCTTGGGTGCTCTCGGGATGCTTTGAGTTGTTCTCAGTTTCGACAGTTGGACCCAGTTGGATTGAGAGGTCCTACTAATTCAGGACCTAGTTCGCTGACAAGCCCCAGATTCTACAACCACAAACCCGAAATTCCGCAGATTCCTGAAGTGCATCTGCAGGGGCGACTGCACTTCAATGGGCCTGAGCCAGCCGTAGGGACTTTGGGTGTTCAAATTCAGGGTGTATAGCAGCCCAGGAGCCTGGGGGCAGTTCGCTCTAAGCTGGGGCAGCTGTCGCCCGGTGTGTAGGGTTCAGGGTTCCTGTAAGGTATTTGTGGTAGTAAAGTAAAATAGCTGGAACCTCCACAAAGCGACTAAATCACCCCAGAATGATGTGATGAGTTTAACTTTGCTTTCAGGTTGAGTCGTTAGCGCGTCAATCTCTAGAGCTGTAAACCCGAAGCTCTACAAGCTAAAACAAGATCAACCCCAAAGCCCTCAAGCTCCAACACACCCAGGCTTAAAACTGCGAGGCCCTTTGGGTTAAGCTCTAGACACTCTAAAGACCTTAGAGCGACGTGCGAGGTGATGCAACGGAGACAGGCCAGGGCCGGTGGGTTGTGGTCAGGGTTTGGAGTTTAGTGTTTGGGGTTTGGGGTTTAGGGGTTTAGGGTATCAGGGTTTTAGGGGTTTAGGGTTTTAGGGTCCAGGCTTTAGGGCTTTAGTGCAGGATTGGGCATTTCTGAGGGTAGACCAAGGGGTTCGGTTAGGGGTGTAGGACAAGGGCAGTGCAGTGGATGGTGTACATAGTTGTTGTGATAAAGAATTCAGCGTTAGTGGGCTTTCGGTGTTGAGGGTTTATGGGGCGATTGGGGTTTAAAGGGGCTGATAGGGTCTCTGGGTGTATTTCGGGGGGTTTGGGATGCCAGATGAGATCTTGAAGGGATTCAACAATAGGCATTTAGGGTTCGAGGGTACAGGGGTTCCGGCTTTTTGGGTCACGCATGGAAGCTTCCTGAAAGTCGTCCGTAAAGTAACCCTTAATGTAGTAGCCCTAATCAATTCCACCCTCAAAGTAACTTGTATTAT